ATTCCATCAATTTATGAATACCTCATATAATTAGTGAGCATAATGGTTTAAAACAATTGAGATAAAAAGTATTTGTGGTTCTTCTCACAAATCATCGTGGTATAAGGATAGCGAAAATTATTAGATCATATTTTCATCTAATTATTTTGTATCGTTTAATTACAACTTCTTCACTTTAGGTTAATGGTAAACTTACGCAAGGTGAAAATATAGCTGACAATGGTGGCGTTAAAGAAGCTTACAGGGTACGTCTTAGACATTCATAATTGTGAGAAACGTAAAAAAAAAAATTATTCAATCAATAATAGTGATTGATAAATGCATTAATTTTATAGCTGTGACAAACAGAATCGCATTGTCACATGCTAGGTTAGTAGCAGTGTAATCTATAATTGATTTTTCTTTTTTTAATTATGTAATAGATGTTCTCCATTTTATCAAATTTAATCATTGTCATGAAAGTGATACAATTAGGATTGCGTGTAAATATCCTCTGTGATTTCATGCATGCACATAGATGAGGATTTTTTTTCTTTTTATTTTGATATGAGTAAATGATACAATATTTCAGGCTTATAGGAAATACGTAAACAAATTAGGGCACGAAGAACCGCATTTACCAGGTTTCCAAAATTTCTCCAATGATCAGGTGTTCTTCTTATCTTACGCTCACGTATGTTTCTGATATTTCTTATCATAATTTCTTTTATCCTATACAAAGTTACACATAAAATATTCATGATTTACGTGACAATTTTGATCTTGAATTTTATGGAAACATTCATTTCATCCTATTTTTCTTTTCTTTTTTTAGTTTTGGTGTGGACATAAGAAGCAAGCTGCAGCACTGCAACAAGTGCTTATAGATAAGCACAGTCCTGAGGTATTCCGGGTTATCGGAGCGTTATCAAATTTGCCCGAATTCAGTAAAGCCTACAGCTGTCCACGGGGTAGCCCACTGAATCCATTAAAGCGTTGTACAGTTTGGTAAACAATAATGATGATAACAACAATGACAATATTAGATTTGACAATTGAACAAGCGGTTACGGTAATAAATTCAAGAATTGTCGGAAAAAATCGAAATAATATGTAAAAATAATCAAAGTATTTTGGTATTGCAGAAATATTTTGTAATAACTGAAGTTGATTTATAACTTTTAATATAAATTTTGTTTCACCTTAGAATATTTCACAAAATAAATGATTCATTACGCAAAAAAAAAAATAAACTTAATATTTTCAGTGCCTTAAGCGAACTATTATAATGTTGTAAAGAACATCCAGTTTGTCTAACTACTATTATAATACTGTAAAGAACATCTGGTTTGATAACCCAGCTTATGTATAATGATGGGAAATGTTGTAAAGATCTAATATGATAAATATGCTTACTATATTCAGTGGTTAGCATGTCATACACTTCCGGTAAATCTATGAATATTCAAATTTTTCTTGTTTGAGAACTAATATTTAATTGTGAACCATTCTTACCATATCAAAGGGTTTAAAATCATCAGTAGGAAGCATTCACTCGTGATCATAAGTTTCAATTCTTCACTACTCAGCAGAAATGACAACAAAAAACCAACCTAGTGATAAAAAGAAGAAAAAAAAAACCAACCTAATCGACTATATTCTTTGACAATTTTCTGATAAAATCCAAGGATCTGAAATTATCCATCAATTAGTGAAACCTTTGCTTCAAATATTCGTCTATACCAGCAAAAGAAAAAATATTCACAGCAAGACGACAAACAAAAAAAAAAAAATAAGACAACAAGACAGCAAAGAAAAGTGACACGACTGACAATGATAATCTTATAGAAAACAACAAAAATTCATAAATTACGAAACTGAAGAATATTAATATTAACAATAATT